GACATGGCTTGAACTACTAAGTGATTTTATTTCTTCATTCCCCTGATATTTACTGTATTCTTACTACAAGTCAAATACACGGCATGATATTGCTTCCTTGATCACACCACATCAGATGAGAAAATCAGACATTATAGCCAGCTGTGGGGGCACGGACCTGTAGTCCTAGCTACTCGGAGGGCTGAGGCAGGAGAATTGTCTGAGCCCAGGAGTTTGAGGTTAGAGTGAGGTATGATATCACCAATGCATTTCAGCCTGGGCAACAGACCCTGTCCTTGAAAAAAAAGTGAAGACATGGTGAGCTGTCTACATGGACTCTGTCTCACAGGATCCATGTCGTGTAATTTTTCTAAATGACGTCTCTGTGTGGTTTCCATGAATGTCTGTCTGGTATTTATTGTCTATCCTTTTACTTTCAGCTTTTCTGTACCTTCTACTGAAATCATGGCTTTTGTAAACAGCCTATGGTTATTTATGGATTGACTTATTTTTCCCTCTGCACTATTTGTCTTGTCATTGGAGTGTGTGAGTCCATCATGTTTAATGTCATTGTTTAAGTCTGGGTTTAAATCATTGGGTTTAAGTCTGTACATTGTCATTTGCTGCCTTCTAATATTATCTGTTTTTCACTCAACTATTTTTCTTCTGTTGCCTTCTTTAGATGAAGAAAAAAGTTTGCATTTTATTGCAGTCTTCTGAATAAGTGTTCTGGTTGCAACTTCTCTTATTATTTATTTAATTATCTGAGAAAGCACAATAATCCGTGACTAAGAAGTTATTCTGGGAAGGCTTTTTTTTTTTTAAATTAGAATACATTTCTTTCTTAATCTTTGTGAGTACATACACCATACTGGTGGCAATGGCGGTGAGAGCCTGTGTGTGGACCAGGGAAGCCATGGTGTGAGTTCCATGCTAGCACCATAAGCCAGGCTCTGGGGTAGCATCCGAGACGCTCTGTATTAGATACTGACCGGTGTCATGTGCCACTGGTGATGAGGAAGACAACGTGCTTTTCCCAATGGGTGATGATCTCCCCAGATGATGACCCTTCTCAGGAGGCAGGAGCACTTTCCCGGAATAACTTCTTAGTCACAAATTTTTTTTTTTTTTAGATGGAGTTTCATTCTTGTTACCCAGGTTGGAGTGCAATGGCATGATCTCAGCTCACCGCAACTTCTGCCTCCTGGGTTCAAGCAATTCTCCTGCCTCAGCCTCCCGAGTAGCTGGGACTACAGGCACACACCACCATGCCCAGCTAATTTTTGTATTTTCAGTAAAGACAGAGTTTCACCATGTTGACCAGGATGGTCTCGATCTCTTGACCTCCTGATCCACCCACCTCGGCCTCCCAAAGTGCTGGGATTATAGGTGTGAGCCACCGCGCCCAGCCCTTAGTCACGGATTATTGTGCTTTCTCAGATAGTTAAATAAATAATAAGAATAACCAACAGCAGACCATAACTTCCCTGACTTTCACATACCTGTGCAGACTGCTCAGGGGAGAATCAGTCCCCTGGCTCTGAGACACAGCAGGTGGAAGCAGGAGAGTAACTGGATGATGAAGCTGCAGCTGCAGAGGCATCCAAGCCCCTTACCTGCACTCCTCATAGATGTCTCCTCCATTGAATGCCTGTGATGCCCTCTCCTCCATATGCTCCTGCCAGAGTCTCCCCCTCTCCACTGACAGCAGCTCCACCCTTCTCCTCACTTAGTCCAACACGGTGGGTGTCCTTGATTCTTCTTTCTCACACCACAGATACAATCCATTAGCAAGTGCTGTGAAGTCCATCTTCAAATTCATCCAGAATCCCATCACTCCCACCATTTCCCCTGCTCACACCCCAGTCAAGGTAACCAGCATCTCCATCCTGGAATACTGCACTCCTTCTTCACCATTTCCCTACTGCCTCACTTGTCCTCCACCTCTCAATTCTGTTCTCAGCACAGCAACCAAAGGATAAGTCCTACCATGTCGCCTTTTCAAAACTGTCCTCTAACTCTCCATGTCATTCAGAACAAAGGGTTCATCCCACACCCTCCAGGCCTACCTGCTCTGGCCACACCTCTCACCTCATTTCAGTTTCTCTCTGTCCAGCCCTTCTGGCCTCTTCCTCCTTCCAGGAACACAGACACTTTCCTACCCTGGTGCATCTGCACTGAAGGTTCCTGCCTGAAAAGAGCTTTCCCATCATCCTTGTGGACAGCTCCTCACATCCCTCAAGTCTTCACTCAAAGGTCACATTTGCAAGGAGGCCCATGCTGACCACCCAGCACAACAGCCACCTCCCTGTCCCCACAGCCCACACTCTGGATCACCTGCCCCACAGCACTTGCCACCTTCTAACTCAAGCATTTTCTGCTCTTACTCTGTTTATAGTGTATCTATCATCTGCCTACAGAGGTGTCCAATCTTTTGGCTTCCCTGGACCACACGGGAAGAATTGTCTTGAGCCACACATAAAATACACTAATGACAGCTGATGAGCAGAAAAAACAGAAACAAGAAAGAAAAGTATGTGCATATTTTTCATGGTATCTGCCACCACAGATAAGCAGAGACGTCCTCATATTGGAAGCTGTCCTGGGCCACATGCAGCCTGTGAGCCACAGGTTGGATCAGCTTACATCTAGAATGCACACACAAGGCTGGAAAACCTTGTTTTTACTAAAATGTTTTCTAAATGCGAAAACAGTCATGTACCTAGCAGACAACAAACGTCAGTTGAATGAATGATCACTGAAGGGCACCTCCCTATTCTAAAGGCAATGTCTTTATTAAAGTAGCCTCAGGCCAAATGCTGTTTTGTGGCAGCTACAGAGTAACATCATCTCACACTGACATCAGTGCTGCCAGAGCTTTTCTCTCCAGGGCTGTTTGTGAGGCCCCCCTCCCTCCCTCCTTCCCTCCTCCCACATCAACCCTCCCACTTGCTGCAGCACACAACTACATTTTTCTCTTCAGGAAAGATAACCCTGGGCTTATGGGTCCAATTTTCCAACCACATATGAATCTAAGTCAGCCTCTGCTTTGTAAATCCATGGGTTTGGATTGGAGGCAGCACTAGGATTACTACAACTCAGGCAGGAAGAAGAGTAGGAGAGAGAGCAGAAGAGGCATTACAACAAAAAGTTATCTATGATGAGAAACTATGGGAGCCCTTCTCTCTGCAAGTTTCAGAATCTGCTTCATTTAATAAGGTTGGGGGAAATATGGAAAATATAATCCAGGAAAGAGACCTGGAAGGAGGGCGAGAGGGACAGGGTTCTGAAAATTTGTCTCCAGATACCACAAGGACTTCTATGTGTGGAGACCGCCATAGATGACACTCAAGTCCCTGTGATCACAGGCCGTGGCAGGACAAGGTTCTATTGAAGGGCTAAGGACAATGGAGCAGCAAAGATGACACAGTCAAGCAGTGACCACATAAAGCCCACAGTGGCCTGAGAACCCACTGAGCACAGCCCCATCTATTCTTCACCCCCGCAACAAATCAGCACAAGAAACACGTGGACTGTGCAGGTTCTCAGGTCTTCCATTTATTTTGTCTCTCAAATTTCAGGAATCTTCTCCTTGAATTAACCCATCAATGTCTCATGGAAATAATTTCAAGAAGTAAATTACATTCAGACTCTAATTTTAATAGGAAAGTAAGAAGTTACAGCTCACTGCACCATAAAGTTGAGACAGAGCTGGAGACATTCCAGCCCCAGGTCTCTGGAACAGGAAAGGTGATCGGGAAAGGAATGCAGGTCAGCGTGGGGAAGGGGATCATGCTGGACACGGGGCTGCGCTGGTCTCCCCACCTCCTCATTATGTGACTATAGGGACACAGACACATTCAGATGCCTTTGCAGTAAGAGAAGTCAGGGTTCTTGAAGTCCCAAATCGAAGGTGTGGATAAATCTTGCCTCAGTCCCACACAAGGCAGCTGTCTCACACTATAAAAAAAATTCATTAACAAATTTATGTCAGTCACACTTTAAACAACCCATCACCAGCTCAATACATCCAAGTCAAAGAAACCCCATAGCACAGCTGTGCCCACTGTTCCCCCAATAACCCACACACATCAGCTCCACCCCCCAGGGTCTCACCTTTACAAGCCGTGAGAGACACATCAGAGCCCTGGGCACTGTCGCTGCCTGGGGTAGAACAAAAACAGAACCTGGTCAGAGCCTACCAGAAATGCCCCTAGAGGAGAAACTGTGGACTGGGTGAGCTTCCCCATGGGCTCCCGATCACAATATCCCGATGATCTCAGGGATCAGCCTCCTTCATACTTACTTGCCGCCTGAGAATAGCTTCCTCCTTTTTTATCTGTGGGAAGAAAATATCCTGTGAGGGCTCAGAAAGGTGGCAGGGCCATGAGGTCCTAGAGGAACCTCGTAGTCTTGGACCCCAGAGAAGTTCCCAGAAATGTGTGACTGCAGACTCAGGGAAGGATCAGGAAAAACAAAAAAAGCAGGTGTGGGTCCTGGACCAACTGCCCTCCTAAAAACTGTCCTCAGCAGGGACGTTCCCTTGTGACCTGTGACTGCTGGGATCAGGTCCCCATCACCACAGTCATCAAGGTGATACATCTGTCCTTCATTGTCACAGGTGCTTTACACAAGAGTAAGTGCTGGCACACAGGGCCCAGGCTGGGCGGCTCATGAGTGTGGATGCTGCTTCCCAGTAACCAGGCAGGGCACACTTCTACCTGGGGCTTGGAACCCTCAGTGGGACAAGAAATCTCAGACCCCACTCCTTACCCCTTCCTCACCTGAGCTCTTCTTCCTACACATCACAGCAGCAACTACAGCTCCGGTGACTACAGCTCCAAAGGCAACCAGGCCAGCAATGATGCCCACAATGGGGATGGTGGGCTGGGAAGGCGGCTCTGGGAAAGGAGGGGAAGGTGAGGGTCCCAGACTCCCAGGACCCAGCCCCTACCCTGCTGAAAGGTTGCACAGTGGCTCCTGCTTTCCCTAAGAGACATGACACACCACCTGCTCCTTACCCCATCTCAGGGTGAGGGGCTCGGGCAGCCCCTCGTGCTGCACATGGCATGTGTATCTCTGCTCCTCTCCAGAAGGCACCACCACAGCAGCCCACTTCTGGAAGTTTCCATCCCCTGTGGGCCTGGTCTCCACAAGCTCCATGTCCTGGGTCTGGTCCTCCCCATCCCGCTGCCAGGTCAGTGTGATCTCCGCAGGGTAGAAGCCCAGGGTCCAGCACCTCAGGGTAGCCTCATCGTCAGAGACGGGGTGGTGGGTCACATGAGTCTTGGGGGGCACTGAAGGGAAGAGTCAGAAACTTCAGGCACTTTGCATCTCTCATGGGACACCACTGCAGCACCCATGTGACCATCCTGAGAATGGACAGGACACCTGGGATGGGGAAGGGTGCACAGAACGCATACACCAGCCTGGACACTAAGGCACCTGGGATAATCTCCTATTCAGTGGGAAGTCCTAGTCTCTGAGTGGGGAACAGGGGCTTCTGGTCCTGATCTGAGTGGAGGCCGAGGGACTCAGAGGAGCTGGAGTCAGACCCCCGCACACATTGAGTGTGAGGCAGAGGACAAGGCAGGAGAGGAAAATCCTGGTGCCCGGTGCTGCTGTGGGGTCACAGGGGACCCCTGATCAGTATTCCAGGGACTGACTTCCCCTCGTTTCCCTCAGAGACTGCAACCCTTAATTGTATCAGAGAACAGGTCAGGGCCTCCGCAGTCACTCTCTGGTACAGGATCTGGAAACCCAGGAGGATTTCTCTCCCTCAGGACCGGAGGGTGGGTGATATTCTAGTGTTGGTTCCATTTTCCTCCCCTCCTTGGAGAGGCCAGCCTGGGAGGTCTACAGGAGATGAGGGAGGTGCCCCATAGCCCCTGCGGCCCCTGGTACCCGCGCGCTGCAGCGTCTCCTTCCCGTTCTTCAGGTATCTGCGGAGCCCCTCCACGCACGTGCCCTCCAGGTAGGCTCTCCACTCCTCAGCCACATTGGCCGCCTCCCACTTGCGCTGGGTGATCTGAGCCGCCACGTCCGCGGCCGTCCAGGAGCGCAGGTCCTCGTTCAGGGCGATGTAGTCCTTGCCGTCGTAGGCGAACTGGTTATACCCGCGGAGGAGGCGCCCGTCCGGCCCCACGTCGCAGCCATACATCAGCTGGATGGTGTGAGACCCTGGCCCCGCCCCCGCGTCAGCTCCGCCCATTTTCAGTTTAGGCAAAAGTCCCGGTCCCCGCCCCACCAACCCGCGGGTATTTTTGCCTAAACTGAAAATGAAACCCGGTAAAGGAGCCCGAGTTCCTCCCGGGTCGAGGGTCTGGGCGGGTCCCGCAGCCTCGGGGTGGATCTTGGACCCGGAGACTCGGGGCGACCCGGGCCGTCCGTGGGGTGGGGAGGGGTCGTGACCTGCGCCGCGGGCCGGGGTCACTCACCGGCCTCGGTCTGGTTGTAGTAGCCGCGCAGGGTCCGCAGGTTCACTCGGTAAGTCTGTGCATTCTGCTTGGAGATCAGTGTCTCCCGGTCCCAATACTCCGGCCCCTCCTGCTCCATCCACGGCGCCCGCGGCTCCTTTCTCGGACTCGCGGCGTCGCTGTCGAACCGCACGAACTGCGTGTCGTCCACGTAGCCCACGGTGATAAAGCGGGGCTCCTCGCGGCGGGGGCGGGACACAGAGGTATGAAAATACCTCAAGGAGTGGGAGCCTGGGGGCGAGGAAGGGCTGAGACCCGCCCGACCCTCCTCCCGGCGCGGCTCCCCGGGTCCTGCGTCCCAGCCGGGCGGGCCCCTTGCTCCTCCCCGCAGAGGCTGTTTCCCTCCCGATCCCGCACTCACCCGCCCGGGTCTGGGTCAGGGCAAGGGTCCCCGAGAGCAGCAGGAGGAGAGTTCGGGGCGCCATGACCGTCATCCTAAGCATCTGGGGATAATCTGAGTCCGGGTGGGTGACTGGGGACTTTAGAACCGGGACCGCGGGGAGCTGATTGGCTTCTCTGGAAACCCGGCACCCAATGGGAGTGAGAACTGGGTTCGCGTCGTGAGTATCCAGGAAGAAGGACCTGACACAGGTTGGGAGAGGAAGAGAAACTGCGGAGATGGGGAATCCCCAACGCTGCGCCTCCCAATCCATACACCGCCTTCGGGTCCTGAGACCCTGAGAGCCATACCTGGGCCCTGGGACTTCGCCCTGACCCCGCTCCTCCTGTGCCAAGCGCTCTGTGTCAATGTCTCCCTGAGTCTTGGCCCAGGAGCTGCTGAGAAACCAGAGAGAAACCCTCAGCATGGGCCCCGTCCCTCTCCCTTCACTTTTCATCCCGGAATCCCCGTCCCTGAATTGGACTCCCTGCCTCCCACTCTCCTTACCTGTCTCCCTGGACTCTTCTAGAAGAAAAGTCACTCCAGGAAGCTTGGTGCTAGAGAATGAGCTCACGCTCGGAATGGTGTAGAGACAGGGTGTGTTTTTTTTTTTTTGGTTCAAATCTGAAAAAATTTTGCCTGAGAGCATGAGATAGCATAGAGACCAGTTTGCTTTTTGTTTATTAACTAGGATGGGCAGCAGAGTCTTGGTAACCCCTGAATGATCAGGAATCTAATCGGTAAAAAATGTGACTTTGGCCCATTGGTATATAAATGTGTCTAAAAGCTCTCATCCGAGACAAGACAAGAAAAAAATAAAAATAAAAAGGTAAAAGCATTGCAACAGGACTCATAAGGCTCCTGTTGTGCTCTCTCAGAAAATGTATCTGTGACTCCAGCTTGTGGTATTTTAAATTTGCCTTCATTCCACAGCTCTGAGTTTCTGTGTGAGTCCAGGACATCTCCTCAGCACAGAGTAGCTCACTGTGTTATGTATGTTGCAACCAGGAGCCAGTACAGACTTCATTCACCTCACAGTCGCAAGTGTTCAGTGCAGTCACAATGCCCCTCACCAGTGCTCATGCACTGCCTGATTTTAGGAAGTGTCCACATCTAAATGGTGTGTTTGTTTTATAGGAACACTTAGTACTTTTTAAGCCGGATTAACATAAGAAACAATTAGTTTATAGGCAGACCTACATAAGGTGTTAAAGCGCAACTGCAAAGAACACCCTGAGAGGCTCTGTAGATGGATGTATTAAACATCTATAAAACAATGTGTTTAAACCTAAGAATTCTGCTGCTTTAGAATTCCTTCCTCTGCTCCTTCTCACTTCCTGCTTCTCCAGCCCTTCCCTCCATCCCTCCCATCCCTCAGGCCCTCCTCTCCCCTTAGTCCCCACCACTCTGTCACTCCTGAATTGTGACACTAACACTGTCGCCTTACCTGCTACATGACTGTTCTCTCCACAGTGGTCCTGCTACTGTGAGTCAGAGTGTCTCATTTCTCCCTGTAAAAAAACTCCAGTGGCTCCACCTTGGTCTTGTGAAGCTTCTAGAATGTCAGGCATGTGTCCATATGAGGGTGTACCTGGTTTAGTGTAGGCACTAAATTAATTTTTATTGATGGAATGATTAAAATATGCGTGTATTAAATGGACCACAGAAAATTACAACATATAAAACACTGAAAAAGTTAAGAAATATTTTAAGTAACTAGTGTGCGTATCAATTCATCAATTCATTCCATGAGACTGTTGAGGCTGTGTATGAATTTTATAAAACTGTGTAACAAATTATCACAAATATTGACTTTAAGCAACACCTGTGTGTTGTTGATTTATTTATTCTTAGGGACAGAGTCTCCCTCTGTCATCCAGGGTGAAGTGCAGTCACATGATCATGGCTCAGTGCAGCCTCAAACTCCTGGGCTCAAGGGACCCTACTGCCTCACTCTTCAGAGCAGCTAGGACAGCAGGCAAGTGTCACCACGCCCAGCTAATTAAAAAAAAAATTGTAGAGACAAGTGTCTCACTACATTATCCTGGCTGGTCTCAAACTCCTGGCTGCAAGTGATCCTCCTATGTCAGCTCCTCAAATGTTAGGATCACAGGTGTGCACTACCATGCCTGGTCTAACACCACTCATTTATAGTTCCTTAGTGAGAAATCTGGGCATGATGTGGATGGAATCTCTGTTCTGGGCTTCACAAAGCTGTGTTTTCATTTTGAATTCTCCTTCAGGCTTACACAGAGGTGGCAGAATGCAGTTTCTGGCAGTTGTAAGACAGGTTCCTATTCCTTGCTGGCTGTCAATGTAGAGAACAGGGAGGGCTGTGCTCAATTCCTGGTGCCCACCAGCGTTCTTGCCTACCCAGCCCCTTCATTTTCAAAGCCCACAGTGGAGGAAACCCCTCATGCTGAATCCCTCTCACACCGTGAATCTCTATGCTCAGGAAGAACCCAGCCTTTCAAGGGCTCAGCTGATTAGGACAGTGCAAGCAGGATAAACCCAGCCTAAAGTCAACTAATTGAGGCCCTTAATTATATCTGCTGAATCCCTTCACAGCAGCACCTACCTTAGAGTTTCTTGAATAACTGTGGAAAGGTGAAAGACCAGGAGGTGGTGGTTGGGGGCCATGATAGGATCAGCCTAGCAAGAATTGGCTTTTGTGTTTAATTGAGACACAATTGAAAATTGAAATTCAAGTAATGTGATAATTGTGAATGGTAATAAAATACATCCCCTTCAGCCATGAAAATTCTCCTTACCTTTCACAACTGTTACATGTTTAATATCTTATAGTTAATTTAGGCCAGGCCTGGTGGCTCATGCCTGCAATCCTAGTGCTGTGTAAAGCAGAATTTGTTAACTCCAGAAGTTCAAGATCAGCCTGGGCAACACGGTCAAACCCCCATCTCTGCCAAAAAACAAAGAAATTAGAAAATTAGCCAGGCATGGTGGTTCATGCCTGTAGTCCCAGATACTCAGGAGGCTGAGGCCACAGGATCCCTTGAGTGATCATGCCACTGCACTCCAGCCTGGGTGACAGAGTGAGACCCTGTCTCAAAAATAATAATAATGATGATGATAAATTTAGAGCAAATGCAAATTAATGTGTAGTAATACATCCTCTCTTGTGAAAATTAGTTATTTACTATTGCACAACATATTATGTAAAACTTAGCAGCTCAAAACAACAAATATCCATGGTCTTCCACAGTTTCCAATGTTCGGGAATCCAGGAGAGGTTTCCCTGAGTGCTTCTGGCTCAGGTCCTCTCACAATGCTGCAGTCCAGTTGTCAGCCAAGGGCTGCATCATCTGAGTGCTTCACTGGGGCTGGGGATTCACATGAAACATGGGTCAGTCACACGGCTGTTGGAAAAGGCCTAGTTCCTTGTTGTCTGGTTCCAGAAAGTCTCAGTTCTTAGCCACATGGACCTTCCTGCAGGGCTGCTTGTGGCACAGCAACTGGCTTCCCCCAGAATTCATGATTCCAGAGACAGAGAGAGAGAGAAGGTGGAAGATGCAGTGAGTTTTGGGTTCTACACCCAGAGTCACAAACTGTTATGTCAGGATTACTCTGTTAGAAGTTGATTAGCTCATTCTCACACTGCTATAAAGAAATACCTGAGACTGGGTTATTTATCAAGGAAAGAGATTTAATTGACTCACAGTTCTGCATGGCTGAGAAGGCTGTCACAGGAAACTTATAGTCATGGCAGAAGTGGAAGCAAACACATCCTTCACGTGGTGGTAGGAGAGAGAAATGCAGAGCAAAGTGGGGAAAGCCCCTTATGAAACCATCAGATCTTATGAGAATTCACTCGCTGTCATTAGAACAGCATGGTGGGGGCTGGGGACAGGTGCAGTGGCTCACGCCTGTAATCCCAACACTTTGGGAGGCCCAGGCAGGCGCATCACGGGGTCAGAAGTTCAAAACCAGCCTGGCCAAGATGGTGAAACTGAAACCCCATCTCTATTAAAAATATAAAGATTAGCCGGGTGTGGTGCTGCATGCCTGTAATCCCAGGTACTCAGGAGGCTGAGACAGGAGAATCTTTTGAGCCCAGGAGGCAGAGTTTGCGGTGAGCCGAGGCTGTGCCATTGATTGCATTCCAGCCTGGGCATCAGAGTGAGACTCCATCAAAAAGGAAGAAAAGAAGAAAGAAAGAAAGAGAAAGAGAAAGAAAGAAAGAAGAAAGAAAAAGAAAAAGGAAGAAAGGAAAGGAAGGAAGGAAAGAAAGAAAGAAGAAAGAAAGAAGAAAGAAAGAAAGAAAGAAAGAAAGAAAGAAAGAAAGAAAGAAAGAAAGAAAGAAAGAAAGAAAGAAAGAGGGAGGGCCGGGCGCGGTGGCTCAAGCCTGTAATCCCAGTACTTTGGGAGGCCAAGGTGGGTGGATCAAGAGGTCAAGAGATCGAGACCATCCTGGTCAACATGGTGAAACACCGTCTCCACTAAAAATACAAAAAATTAGCTGGGCATCGTGGCGCGTGCCTGTAATCCCAGCTACTCGGGAGGTTGAGGCAGGAGAATTGCCTGAACCCAGGAGGCAGAGGTTGCGGTGAGCCGAGATCGCGCCATTGCACTCCAGCCTGGGTAACAAGAGGGAAACTCGGTCTCAAAAAAAAAAAAGAAAGAAAGAGAAAGAGAGAGAGAGAGAGAGAAAGGAAGGAAGGAAGGAAGGAAGGAAAGAGGAAAGGAAGGAAGGAAGGAAGGAAGGAGGAAAGGAAGGAAGGAAAGAGGAAAGGAAGGAAGGAAAGAGGAAAGGAAGGAAGGAAGGAAGGAACGAAGGAAGGAAGGAAGGAAGGAAGGAAGGAAGGAAGGAAGGAAGGAAGGAAGGAAGGAAGGAAGGAGAAAGAAAGAACAGCGTGTGGGAACCATCTTCATGATTCAATCACAATCACCTCCTATGTGGTCCCTCCCTCAATATCAGGGGATTACAATTCACTTGACAATTGAAGATGAGATTTATGTGGACACACAGAGCCAGGCCATTATCAGAAGTGCATATTAAGTCCAAGCCATGCTCAATAGAGGGAAGTAAGTTGCACCTCTAGAAGGGAGCAGTATTAAAGGATTTGCACGTATGTTGAAAGCAAACTTTCAGGATTTTGTAAATTGAAGGCTTCTTTTATC